CAAAAAGAGGATTTAGCCTCTCATCTTCTCCACCCCACTGTTTTTATGTTTTAAAGAGCAGTGAAGGGCTGAGGCTCTGGCACAGCCCTGGTCACTGTCGGTGGATGACTGGAACAGCCATCCACTGAAGGCAGCACGATGGTGGAGGATGGGCCAGTGAGTGGCTCAGCTGTTGCTATAACAACAGCACCTTTCAAAACATGAATTGCTGCTGGTGGGATGAAGCAGAGCAGCTTCTCCCCGCAGATGAAAGCCCCACCAACAGCCTCAATGCTCTCCTGTTTATGTATTGGCTCTGTCACAGCGTGTCTGAGTAGCTCCACTGGAAATCCCGGGACAGGTCTGATTAAACCAGCCTTGTCTGCATGTCGGTGTGCACAGCCTCTGTGCCCCCTGCCTCTTGCCCAGTCAAGTCATTTAAAAAGTCACCCCACCAAAGTTTGACCTTTTCTTGCTCTGCAGCTGGAGTTTCCTCAAAGGCATATAAAGGATAATGAGTCCTGCTTTGCTCTCTTCTGCTCTGGGATAGAAACCTGCTGTGAAATGCAGATTCATCAGCCAAATATTTTGTGTGAATAAAGCTAAGGCCCTAAGGAGCTGGCACGAGTTTTATTGTATTCTAATATTTTTGGTTTATTTTCATATTTTCCTTTTATTTTCATATTTTTCTTTTTATTTTATGAACCAATAGTTTTCTGCACCTAGACATAAATCTCTACACTGCTGTGAGTATCTCCATGATGCATACTGTAAATCACATGCACAAGCTATATACTACTCCTTAGAAGGAGAGGGGGGATACTTTCCAGAGAATATTTTACTTCAGGCATTGTTTTTACAGAGGGAAGAGGAATAGGGAATTCCTGGGGTTTTAGTCTTAAACACTGTGGAGTCCGGGTAGTGGTAAACTGTTTACCAATATATGGTTACGGTATAATATTCAAGCCATCCAGTAGTTTAAATGGTGATTGAGAATCACAGGATCATAGAATAGCTTGGGTTGGAAGGGACCTAAAAGCTCATCTAGTTCCAACCCCCTGCCATGGGAAGAGACACCTTCCACTACAGAAGGGTGCACCAAACCCTATCCAATCTGGCCTTGAAGACTACCCGGGATGGGGCAGCCACAGCTTCTCTGAGTAACCTGTGCCAGTGCCTCATCACCCCCATAGCGAAGAGCTTCTTCCTAATATCTAAATCTCCCCTTGGACAGTTTAAAGCCATTCCCCCTTTTCTTATGCCTAAAAGCCCTTGTATAAAGTCCCTCTCCAGATTCCTTGTAGCCCCATTAGACTCTGGAAGGTGCTCTAAGGTCTACCCAGAGCCTTCTCTTCTCTAGGTTGAATAAGCTCAGTTCCCTCAGCCTGTCTTCCTAGGAGAGGTGCTTTCAATATATAAAACTGAACATTTGCATTGAAATAATTCGCTAAGAATATTGCTGTGTTGTACCCCAAAAAGATGAGATGCATCTGTTGTTATGGCTCCCAACACACCTCACTCCACTCCCAAAATGCCGGAGACAAGGTACTTCCCTTCCTGCAAAGGCTCTTAACCCCCCAAATCCTAAAAGCTGTGCTTGAGGAGAATATTGTGCAGCTACAGGCTTAGAATAGGCTTCATTTTGTTTTCATTTGCAACAAGGCACAATTTCTGTACATTTGATCTTTGATGGAAAATAGTTTCTATGTTAAAGCTGCTTTCTGTTGTAAGGCATGATAAACACAATTATTAGTATTTATATACTGGGCCTCCTTTTACTTTTCGCTAAAGTCACTGTATATTTGTACAGGGGGACATCTAAGTTTCAGCACATGATGAAATTTTGGGAGCTGATATTTTTAGGTCTGGTTATTTGCCACTGAATAGTTTTGATTCTTTTGGTAAACATTCATGTACAAATAAGGTGATGGATCCAGGATAAATTAGGAAATGGTATGAAACCTGAAAGTGTGAAATGATGTGAAAGTGTGTCACTCTAACCAATATTCTGTAAGGTTCACTTTCAAACTGTTGTGAAATGCATGGAGTCAGTTATCTTGTTTTTTTCAGGAGATAATTGTTCTCCATAATCCCTGACTTGTCATTATGATGATTTTTTTTTCCCATCACTACCTTATATGAACTTTATTTTATGACTAGAAGCTGTTACCACGTCCTTTGGCATGACTGTTCTTACTTTAGTCCAGCATTTGGCCAGCTCAGGGCAAAGGGCCATCACAAGTTTTGGACATTTCTTTGACCTGTTTTTGCGTGTACATACCCACTGAATTTGGTATTGAGTCAGGTCGTGTTCAATGACTGTTTTGCTGGTGTGGAAGGCAAAGACTTTGTATTGAGAGAGCTTACAGCTGAAATGGACAATTTCAGCTCTAAATTGTGTCAGTGGCCCATCAGGGGCCACATTTATATATGCTATTTTAAGCCATTATATCAACTATGTTACTGACCGCCTGCATTTGAGGCCAGATTGTGCTTGCTCTCCTCTTCCTCTGAAAAAAGGAATCTCAGAAGTGACCGTGCTATAGTACTTGTGAAGCGGGGCCATTGCCACATCAGTATTTTCCTTTTCTTGTCTCTGGGGTCTGAATCAGGGCTATATAAAGATCAGTGAAACAAGCCCAGTGGCTCAGCTGTAGTCTGCTGCCACACACCAGTTACACCGGTCAAAAGCAGCAGGGAGCTGTAATGCCATATGTTGGTTTTCAGCCTAACATGGGTATTTAAGGAAAGGAAGCGGTAGAGGTGAGAGCCGTATCATAAACCTCCTTGTGGGATCTGATTTTTCTCCTTCACACTAGCCTGGGTGTTGACTTACCTTCAGTATTGCTGTTAACTGGTGCAGATGAGGAAATTACCACCGCTGGGCAAGCATCTTGCTAGAGCTTGCTACTGTTGTGTCACAGAGATATGAAAAGGTGATGCCTGTGTTGTAGGGCTCCATGCAGCCTGGTGTGCTCCTGCAGACCATGGTTGATTAACTTGACTGTGATGGGCGCACTGGTGTGCATGCTCCTGCCTGCGTCTGCCCCCACGTGCAGGACCCCATCCCTGAGCATTTGTGAAGCTCATGTGGGCAAGAGCTGCTGTGCTTGGGTGAACAGAGAGAAGAGTGGGAGCCAGTGATGGGGAATCCACACACACAGTGGGGAGGTCCAAAACAGCCTTCCTGATCTCTGTCTCAGAGCAGGTGTGCTCCCCATCACAGCCCATGCCATAGGGAGAGTGAAACCATTGGCGTTGCTGTTTCCCAGAAACCAGGGGTTGGAAAAAACGCAGAGAAAGGACAGTTCCTGTGGAGCTATGCAGGCATCTTGCACTGGAGGAGCAGTGGTCTGCATGACAGAGGCTGTGGTCACAGAGAAGCTGGTCTCTGTGCTGCGGCACCGCGGAAGCCAAGAAGAGAAGGAATTTCAGCCTGGTGGAGGCTTGGCATTCATTAGCTTTGTGCAGGGGAGACAGGCAGCAAAGTCTTGGGCATGTGTGACATTAGGGACCCACTGGTGACTTAGCTACGTGTTAATCATTCTCCCACATAAAGAAGCTCTTTTGCTCCAGTTCAAATCAAGGAGTTGATGATCTGTTTAAGGACTCAGAGACTTGCCTTTCTGCCTTGTTATAAAGGTCACATCTCTGCAGAGGACTAGCATAGTTTAGTGTCCCACACATGTTTAGCTGGGACTGTAGCAACATATGCAGTGGCCATGTCCTTTTGCATTGCATGCTGAAGAGACCATGCTGGCCTGAAGGGCAAGAGAAGGGCACAGCCTTCTTGGAACCGCTCCCTCTAACCTAAGGATGAGATATGGATTTGCTTGCCTGTCTTACACATGGGATGAAAGGGGAGGTAGCTCTCTGGGATGGGAGAAATAAATGGGAGCTGGATTGTGGGAAGAAAGAAGGTTGAGGACCTTTAGGTTAGGGAAGGGGTGGGAGCTGCATGTCTGAGACTTTCATACAGTAAAAATACTTTAAAAATTGATAAAATCTTTCAGTATTTTGTCTTCTATTGTCCTGCTATCAAGGACGCAAGTGTGTCCTGAAGGCGTTTGCTACAGCTGTGACCTCTTTGCTTCCTCCCCTCCCCGCTATTGTTTTTTGCCTTCACCGAATAGGGATGCTTTTTTTAGCCTGGTACATAAGTGGAGGACTTAACGTTTGGTGTGATAGGAGAGCACTGGAGGTTGTACAGTACTTTGCTATGCTGCTTCTAACCTGACTGAAAGCTTTTATTAATACACTATCTTTTAAATAACAGTCCTGTATTCTAGTTTAATTGCTTTCCTGGAGGCTTGTCTTGCTATCATTTCTGTTAGTTATTTATCTTTCACGTTAGCTCCCAGCACACGGGTTATTTCCTTTTTTTTTCATTATTTGATTGAGTTAATATCATGCAAAGTACCTTATTATTTTTACGGTGGATATTTTTTTTCCTCACTTACAACTGATTCTCAGTATGCTTTGGAGCCAAGAACAGAGGACTAATCAAATGAAACTATTTAATGAATCTTCTCCAAAAAATTTAGCGTCAACAACATATATTTCAATAAAAGTAGTCATTCAGTTCTATTGCGGGTATTTTTCAAGAAGCTTCTAGAAACTGCTAACAAAAAGATTTTCAGAGTAAATAGGAAATTTTAGTGATTCATTTTTTTGGGTCCAATTTAAGACTCATCACTGTGTTAAGCACCAAAAAGTTGAATTAGTCAAATTGCTTCATAAAATTCTGCTATCTTGGAGAGCACATATTTTAGAGTTCTGCTCTTCAGAGGCAGGTTTGATTTGGGTTTGTTTGGTGTATTTTTGGTTGGTTGGGTTTTGTTTGGTTTTTTTTTTTATTTTGTTTTGGACCATCTTCTCAAACTGATCAAGGCATAAGAATGAAATCAAACTTATGTCAGTGGTAGGCTTGATGAGAAGTATCTATCACAAGGCTCATCAGCACTATTTTTGTGTCTGCAACTGGTTAATGGTGGGGTTTTTTTCTCCTGTTTTTCTTTCAGCTTCAAGAGACAGTCAAAAGGAAGTTGGAAGGGGCACGTTCACCTCTCAATGGAGAACAGCAGAATGGAGTTTGTGATGGGAACTTTTCTCCAACCAGCAAGCGAGTGAGGAAGGATGTACCAGGCATTGAGGCAATCAACAGCTTGCCCAATAATTTGCCTTTGCCTGCTGTTTCTCCTCTTCACCAGCTTGACATGAAAGCTCCCCTGCCCCTGCAGAACAGTGGAACTCACAGCAGTGGTCTAGAAGACTTGGGTAAAAATGGTGGGCTTTCCGAGATAAAGCTCCCCGTTAATGGTTGCAGCGAGCTAGATGATAGCTTTAACATCCTGCAGAACAAGGAGCTAAAGCAAGAGCCTTTGGATGACCCCAGCTGCATAGACACTTCTGAAACATCTCTTTCAAATCAGAACAAGCTCTTCTCAGACATTAACCTGAATGATCAAGAGTGGCAGGAGTTAATAGATGAACTGGCGAACACCGTTCCAGAAGATGATATACAAGATCTGTTCAATGAAGACTTTGAAGAGAAGAAGGAGCCGGAATTTCCCAGGCCTACCACAGAGACTCAAGAGAGTGCAAGCGTGAAAAGTGATCCATCTCATTCTCCATTCGCTCATGTCCCACTGGGGTCTCCCCAGGTAAGGCCTTCTTCTTCGGGTCCTCCATTTTCAAATGTCTCCACAGCGTCCAGCATAGCTTCTGTGTCCAGTGCCCCACCAGCCCCAGTCGCTGCTGGCTCACCAGCAAACTGTGTTGTTCAGTCACCTCAAACTCCCAGCCAGGCCCACACTCCAGGCCAAACGCAGTCACGGTCTGGAAATGGCTATCTTATGAATCCAGCAGCAGCAGCAGTGACAGGACCAGGGCCTGGGCCTGTGAATATGCCAACCGCTGACTTGTCTCCAGCTGAGCAGCTTAAGCAAATGGCAGCCCAGCAGCAGCAAAGAGCTAAGCTCATGCAACAGAAGCAGCAGCAGCAGCATCCAAATCAACCCTCAAGCTGGTCACCTGTGGGCCCTCCATCTAGTCCATATGGAGGACCCTTCAGTGCAGACAAACCAAATAGTCCAATGATGTATCCCCAAGCCTTTAACAACCAAAACCCAATAGTGCCTCCTATGGCAAACAATCCACAGAAGACCGCAATTAATAACTACCTCCCTCAGAATCACATGAATATGATCAGTCAGCAGCCAAATAACCTGGGCACAAACTCCTTAAGCAAACAGCCCAATATGCTTTCTTACGGCAACACCAAGCCTCTGACCCACTTCAATGCTGAGCTGAGTCAGAGGATGACTCCACCAATGGCAAATCCCAGCAAGAACTCCATGATGCCATACATCCAGCAGCAGCAGCAGTCCCAGCAGCCACAGATGCAAGCTCAGATGGCACACCTGAGTGAGGAACAGAAGCGCATGCTCATTATGAAGCAGAAGGGAATGATGAATCAGCCCATGGCATATGCAGCACTTCCTTCCCTTGGTCAGGTAAGTGTGAGTGCATGATACACGGGCAACCCAAAAGAGACTGATATAAAGGCTTAGTGTTTTTTTGTATGATCTCCTTTTTCTCCTGGGAAGCATGGAACGTCATTGCAAACACTTCTTTGACTTTTTATGTGGTATTGGAGCTTGATCATTTTAAGAAATGACTGAAATGAAATTGTATTATGTGTTAGAAATGTTGTTAAATTACTGGGTTTGATGAGCTAGAGCTCTTTTCCTTTGCTTCTACTGATGAGTGCTTAGGGCCACTCTGGGAAGTTTTGTGTTGGAAGTCACTCTTCCTTGAAGGGTTTGTTTCTTTTTATTCCTAATGTCAGACTTCATGATTTGGGATCCCAAACCATGGCATGGCTTAGTTTCTAGAGTGCAGTTAGCATTGTAACAAAAAGACAGAGTGGTTGGCTCCTTCTTTGGGTAGAGATCAGGCCAACTTTAAAAGCATATGTGACATTTTGGCTCAAGGAACAAAGGAAGGACAGCTTGGATGCTGAGTGCCTTCGGTTTCCACTGGGAGAAGTAAGCACAACCGAATGCTTTTAGTGGTGCATGGACTATGCATGAAATGAGATCATTTATTCTGGGACTTTCAAGCAGTATTTAGCAACCTCATGTATTTTATTGTTGTGAATCTGTCAAGTCTTTCAACAAGAACCTAAAGCCATGTCAGCTTGAGTGAGTTGGCATCACTCACATGTATTCCATGCTGACCTCTGGAGTGGCAGCTGCCAGGCTTGGGGTGTGCTTTGGAATGAATTTATAACCAATTTGGGTAATGGTTATGGTAATACCCTGTTGCCTCCTAGGTCAGCTGGGTATTCTCAGTTGTGCAGCCCTGGTAGAGATCTGCACACTTGTATCATGGAAAGGCTCAAGGATAAATTTTCTGAGTGTTGTTTTAAGGGTTTTAAAAATAATTAAAGTTAATAATCAGGCCACAAAGGAGGTGGTGCCGTCACAGAAGTTATGTGCCACCAAAACATGTCAGGAACTGGGATATAATAGTACACTAATAGAATTGTTGGTTGATAGTTTTAGCGTAACAGCTTTTTACCAAATTAGCTATTTCTACACCACCTACAAGGAGTACTTTCTTCTGAGTCTGGTTTAATGGTGACTCACTCTGTAATGCATGTAGAAATACAGCAAAATTTGTAATTTCTTCAGCTTGTGGAGTTTGAGGATCTATCAATAGGAGGAGTAGCAGCTTTACCAGGTCACAGTCCGTCACATACTACTTAAAATTAATTGCAAAACAAAAGAAATATTTATCCAGCTCCTGGTTTTGGTTCAGGATGTATAGTAACAGCTCAGAAGTCTATGTCTTCTAATTCTGCTTGCCTATTGCATTAGAAATAGTTGGTCTAAAGCGTCTTCTTCTTGGGAAGACTTATCTGAAGAAATACTGCAATAATGACAGAAAACTCAGACTTTAATCTGAGCTACAGGTTTGTCAGGTTGTAGCTGAGAAGCAGGGGGTGTTTGGTCATGCTTCCTGATGCTTTATCCTTCCTTTGTTTTTGTTAAATCTCTGGAAATCAAAAGACCCATCGAACAGTTGAGAGGCAAACTGCCCCTGTGAAAGAGTTAATATCTCCTCCATTTCATAAGTCTATAAATTCATGTTAATACCTCACTGCAGTTCTCTACTGTGAACAGGAAGCTGAGGTTTCATATAGCTAATCTAGGAAAAACTAGATATTTGCATACGCTAGACATGCTTCCAAAACCAAGTCTGTATATGTCATTTCTATGTCATATAAAGAAGAAACTTGAGGAAAAGCCATGTGTTGTAATATAATATGTGCAATTCGCATTTATTGGCCCAGTCAGGATGAGGGACTCTGTGCTGGTGTGTAGCTGTAGAAAGGTCCCTTTACTACTCATGAAGCCCACTTGCCTGCACTGAAGGGATTTTGTTTGTGAGGAAGGTTGAAATAATAGATTTCTAACTGTAATGTATTTCTTCATTCCTTCCTCTCCTGCTTCTCCAAAAAGCATTTTTCTGTGGAAAATTGGAAAGCTTATTATTGTGAGATGTGCTTGGTAGAAATGGATATTTACAAAGGTGGTAAAACCAGTATGTTGATATTGTTGCATTAAATCCAGATTGATGCAGATTATCTGATTCTACTGCTTAGTGCTGGTCAGGCTTTCCAGATCATATATGGAAAATAAGGAGATTGCTCTCTTCAGTTTGAAATACATTTCTGAGTGTAAAATTAATGTGTCTTTCTGTTTATAGTTTATACTTTCATTGCAATTTTGGTTTTTGATACAGAATTGTAAAAGTGTGTGTGTGTGTGTGTGTGTTAAATAATTATAAGGATTTAATAAATGGCTTTTAAGGGCAAAAATAATCCTATCTATTGCACCTCATGGTTAGCACTGACCATATATTTCTGTTGGATGACTATTGCAAGGGCGTATTTGAGAACCAAAAGATGATTTAGGGAACATCGGACGTGCACAAAAACCATGTACACCTTGTGTTATTTTCTGTGTACTATTGTAAAATTCACATTCAAGTATGACTAGCTGTGTGCATATGTGCACTAGGTACACTAATTAAACCCATACCCATTTGGGCCTAGGCTACATCTGTTGTTAATAAGCAGAACTTTTACCTGTACTAATTGTTTCAGTTGCTGAGCATACTTTAGGGAGACACAGCAATTCTTTCAGTTCAGCTGGGACCTTGCAAATCTCAGTGGAGGTCAGTTGCACATGAGTGACACTAACATGTCAGTGCTGGTACTCTGGGCTTGCTGAGCAGCGCTCTTGTAAGAGAGGTGAGCAGCAAGAGAGGAATTTGTGCAGCTCAATATACATCTGAGTGGTTGGATAAGCAAAGTGCTAAATTAGCAGCTTAGCCGGAAGAACTAGTGTCCAACAAAAGTAGGATTTCATGAAAGTCTTTACACAGTTGGTCTTGATATGTGTTATCCTCTGGTTGAGATGTGTAATTTTTCCTGTGAGATGCGTTAGTCCTTTGCATTGCTGTACAGATCCAGGACTGGTACTAGCACTGTGGCTGTAGCCTTCATCACACTATTGCTGAACAACCCATATATCCTGAACTATGATGTCCTCTATTTTATGCTATCACTTTTCCTCTTCAAAGGAGCACTGGATGGGGTATTTTTATGTTTTTCCACAAAGCAGATACTGGTTTGTTTTTTTGAGTTGGGGATTTTTCCAGGGTTAGCCTGGGGGTAATTCACACTGCTTTTTGTGGAATTGACTGTTAAAACCATGGTCATATCCTGACCCATCTACCTTCAGTGAGGCTCTACTAGTGTTCCCTCATGCCTGACTGTTCAACACTTGATCAGGCTTGTACTTAGAAATCCATGCTCTTTGTCTTGTCCAGTGTACCCTGATGTGCCCTAAAACCAGTAGTTAGTTTGCGAGTATGTGGCAGGTGGTCAGTATTGCCTCTTGCTTTTTCTGGGTAGTTCATTCATTCTTGCTTATCTGTAGCTATAAGCTAAACCAGCAAGTCCAGATTTTAACTGGAGCTGGTAACCTGTTAGGTATTTAAGGGGGAGAAGTCCTATGCTATTCTGATTCCTATGTGATAATAAAAGAAATAGGTTTCCACCAAGATGGAACATGGACTTTGTTTAGCCTTCTTACGTGATATAAAATATAAAAGCAAGCAAGCAAGCCTAAACCAACCTCCTTTCTCAAAAATCAAAGATCTGTTTAACTTAAAATGTTCCATTTAGTTTTTGAGGTTTTATGGGAGGCACTTGTTTTTGTTTTTTTTTTTCTCTTTAAACCAAAAAGTAATTTCAAATGAGGGAAAAGTAAAACATTTTCTTTGGAAAAATTCAAAATCATTAATTGTGCCTTTCCTTGGTTCCAGCTGTTCAATATGTATATATATTGGTAAGAGAAGAAAGCAGCCCAGTGGAATAGATGTTGAATGGCTGAGACAGAATTTGATGTTTGGAGCCAAGTGAGTGAGGGAGAGTAATGAGAGGTCAAAACAAAACAGAATTCTCTGTGGGTGCAAGACAAATAAAACTAGACTGCAGCTCTTCGCCTGCATAGGTCTGTGAGGATGCTGCAATTATAGCTCCTATTGAAACCACTACTGATGTTGGAAATTGGAGGGATATGAATGAAAAGGAGAAAAGACACCATACTGAAAGAATATCTTCAAATTCTCTTTGCTGTCTTTTGTTTTTATCTTAAACATTCAAGATGCATTGCCTGATTTTGCATGTGTATAGAGAATGTTTCCGAAACATAACTGTCCTTTCCAAGTGAAAAGGTGTGTTTCTCACTGAAATTGTTAATGAGATTTTATGCATTTTGAAGGTTAACTTTGGGATAGTGAGAAAAAAAGGTTGTTGATGTTATGGGATTCAGGGTTTTTTAAAAGCCTACCTGAAAGTAAAGGAAAAGTATACAGATGTGTATTCACTGCATTGAAGTGTGGCAGAAGTACAACTGTCTTACCAGATTTCAAGGGAGACAAGCTGGAATGGAAATAATGACTGTGAGGATCACTTGCTGAGCAGCCTATAGAGATGTAGTGAATGCCCATCTATGCTATGTTTGGCTCATAGCTACTGTTTTACACAAAACATTTGCCCTGGAGTTCAGATGCAGTACCTTCCTTTTACAAATACCAAAATTTATCCCCAAAAATTCATCCCCCATAGACTCCTAAGGACAGATGGGTAATCAAAATGTGCTTGGATGGATTCTGACCATCTAACCAGGCAATTTGTAAACAGTACCTTGGCCTTCTTGCTGTTCCTGCTAGCATCTGCTCATTGGGAAGGAGGTCATGGTAGGATAAATCACTAGAAACATGCTGGACAGTGCTTGGTTAAGATCAGGTCTCCATGGAATAATCCTAAAAAATTTTGGCTTGTTGGTATTTCTGCATTTTGCAGCCTGAGGGTATGGGCTTTTTGTAATTCAGTCGCAGAATCATAGAATGCCAGCTTGGAAGGGACTTCAAGGAT